TCCTTCCTTCCTTCCTTCCTTCCTTCCTTCCTTCCTTCCTTCCTTCCTTCCTTTCTTGTCTGATTATTCTGTGTCATGGTTTTGTTTTTATTATATTGGGTTTTTTAAAAATTCTACTTATTGTACTGTGAGCCGCCCAGTGTTGCTCTGGAGTTGAGCTGGACCAAATAAAATAAAATTATCTCCCATTTCCAGCTCAAATGAGTAGCTAGATGCCAGTCAGCTCTTTCCTGAACTGTATTCAGATAGCAAAGGTAGAATTGTGTAGCATTTAGAACTGGTGTCTAGGTCTTGCTTTCATTTTCTCTCCTCCTCTCTATTTTCCTTTTGGATAGATCTTGTAGACTGGAAAGGCTGTTTGCACCTATGTTTTCTGTCTTCCAGTACTCAACAAATTTGAGGTTCTTGGGAATTCTGTCACTACTGAGCTTAAGTTTTTGAAACTGGCTTCTTTGTGGAATCACATTCTCATGATGAAGAGTTAGCTGAAATGAGCTCCTGATTTCATACTCCATTGAATATATATCATGTTTTATTTCATTCATACAACTGTAATTGAAACTGCACATTCTTTTGTCACCTTCATTTTGCCTTTGAGTAAGAATAGATAAGAAAGCTTAATTCTAATTCTGAAAATGTAGTCATTTTATAAGGGTATTTGGTAATATGGTTCTCTTGTGAACTGTTTATAGAATTTGCTTTATGCAGCATGTGTGTAGAGATATATTTGGTCAATAAACAGTTATTTTTGGAATTCAGCTTCACTGCAAAATTTATAGCAATGCTGTCAACTCTAATAAGTCTCAATTTAATGTTTCTCAACAACTGAAGTCAAGACTGGGAAAATAAAGCATTTTAGGGTTTTTTTTTAAATTGCTTTTGTTTTAACTATACTTGCCTAATTGCCTATACCTGTCTGCTTAATTGTCTAAATTGTAAAAAACTTGGAATTCATCACATTATATTCATTCATGAAGTTCACTGGATCATCTTTGGCTCGGGCCACTCAGCCCATCTTATGTTACAGATTGAGAAATGGAGATGGAGAAAACCTCATTCACTTGCACAAGGGAAACAAACCACACTTTTCGAATATGATTTAATCGAATATGATTTAAACTGAATCATAACGAGTTAAAAAGGAAAGTCTCCTTAAATTGACTTTCAACTAACTTCTGTAATGTGTTAAGTTTCCAGGAAATTAAAGGGATTAGTGTAGTCTGATCTCTTCAGTAACAAATACTGTGAACAAGTGCCTCCCCCTAGCTCTAAGATGAGAAGAGCAGTGGAGGGTAGGAGACTGGATTGAACTTGAATTCATATTTGGTAAGTTGACCTCATGAATAAATACAATCCATCATTTTGTCCTCCAAAAGCTTCTCCCATGTAATCCCATTTATACAATGGCACAATTGCTGAAAAACCACAGTGTATTTTCATAATTCCTTAGGAAGATAGATTTAATCACTAGATCATTGGTAGCTACAATCAAGACATCAA